CAACACTATCAACAAACTGGACCAGAGACATAAACAGAACTCTCCCATCAACAGCAGAATACACACTTTTCTTACATGCACATAAAATATTCTCCAGGACACACCATATTTTAGGCCACATAACAAGAGTCAAAAATTTTTTAAAGGTTTAAATCATACAAAACATCTTTTCAAATCAAAATGGAATGAAACTAGAAATCAACAGCAGAATGAAAAATGCAAAATTACAAATACTTAGAAATTAACACATTCACTATTAAACGAGTCAAAGAAGAAATCACAAGGGAAATAAGAAAATCTTGAGACAAGTGATAATGAAAACACATACCAAAATTTACAGGAAACAGCAAAAGCAATGTTAAGGGAAATTTATAGCTATAAACACTTATACTGAAAAAGAAAGATCTCAAATCAACAACCTAACTTTACACCTTAAAGAACTAAAAAAAGGTACAAACTGAACCAAAAGTTAGCAGATGTAAGGAAATGAAGATCAGAGCAGAGAAAGAAAATAGAGAATTGAAAAACAGAAAAAAAAAAAACAAACAACAAAAGAGTTGGTTCTTCAAAAAGAGGAACAAAATTAAAGAACCTTTAGCTGGACTGAGATAGAAAAAATTCGAGTAAAATCAGAAATAATAGCCAAGACATCACTACCAATTCTACAAAATAAGGATTTTTATGCCAACAAATTGGATAACCTAGATGAAGTAGGCAAATTCTTAGAATCACAAACCTATCAACACTGTGTTTTGAGGAAACAGAAAATCTAAACAGACCTATAACTAGTGTGTAAAGTGAATCAACAATCAAAAATCTCTCAACAAATAAAAGCCCATGATCAGATGGTTTCACTAGTGAATTCTACCAAACATTTAAAGAAGAATTAACACAAAATTTCCTCAAACTCTTCTAAAATACTGAAAAGAAAGGAACACTTTCTAGCTCATTTTTAGGACAGTATTACTCTGATACCAAAACCAGACAAAAATACTACAAGAAAACTACAGATCAATATGAACACTGATCCAAAAATCCTCAATAAAATACTAGCAAAGAAAATTCAACAGCACTTTAAAAGGATTATACATCATGACCCAGGAGGATTTATCCCTGAAATGGAAGAATGGCTGAACATATGAACACAGATCAATGTAATGAATCACATTAACTATATGAAGAGAAAAAAATAACACATGATCATCTCAATTGATGAAAAGCATTTAGAAAATTCAACACGTATCTGTAATAAAAACACTCAAAAATTAGAAACAGAAGGAAACAACCTCAAAATAATAAAGGTCATATATGAAGAAACTACAGCATACTCAATGCAAAAGACTGAAAGCTTTCCCTCTATCATCAGAGTAAAGGGTGCCCACTTAAATTCCTTCTTTTCAACATAATATTGGGAATTCCAGACACAGCGATTAGACAAAAAAAAGAAATAAAAGGCATCCAAATTGGAAAGGATGAAGTAAAACTGCCGATGTTCTAAGATTAAGTGATCTTATATGTAGAAAATCTTAACAATTCCACACACAAAATGTAAGAACTAATATACAAATTCATCAAAGTTGCAGGATACAAAAATCAACTTGGAAAAACCAATTAAGTTTCTATAAACTAACAAAGAACAATCAAAGAAGGAAATTAAGAAAATAATTCCATTTATAATAGCATCAAAAAGATAAACTTAACCAAAAGTAAAAGACATATACTGAAAACTAAAAAATGCTGCTGAAATAAATTAAAGGCAGATAAATGAAAAGACACCTTGTGTTCATGGATTGGAAGACTATGTTGTCACTATTGAAAACATTTGCGGACTCATGCAATCCATATCAAAATCTCAATAACATCTTTCATAAAAATAGAAATATTCATCTTAAAATTCATACAGAATCTCAAAGGACTCCAAATCACCAAAACAATGTAGAAGAAGAACAAAGTTGGATGCCTCACACTTCCTGATTTCAAAACTTACTACGAAACAGTATGGTACTGGCCTAAAGACAGACACAGACCGAGAAAATGGAACAGAAAGCCCACAAATAAACCCTCACGTATACGGCCAAATGATTTTTTGACAAGGGTGTCAAGACTAGTCAAAGACTGGGAAGGACAGTCTTTTTCAATGAATAATGCTCAAAAAACTAAATATCCACATGCAAAAGAATAAAGCTAGATCCTTACCTTACACCATATCCAAAAATTAACTCATAGTGGTTCCTAATAGCTAAAAGTATAAAACTCTTTGGAAAAATGTACAGAAAAAGCTTCATGACACTGGATTTGG